GGGGAGGGGGGGTCCTGGAAGGGGGAGGTCAGGGGGACAAGGGGGGGGGGGGTTGGCTAGGTCAAGGGTTCTGAGGGGAGTAGTCAGGGGGCGGGAAGTGGGAGGGGGCAGATAGGGGGCGGGGGCCAGGCTGTTTGGGGAGGCACAGCCCTCCATACAGTTTCGCAACCCTGAGGTGGCCTCAGGCCAAAAAGTTTGCCCACCCCATATCTGGTGGGATCCTGCAAAGGGTGGGTTTTAGGTCTTGTCTTAATTAGTGATGAAGAAGAGGGAGGAAACAACATCTTAATAAAAGGTGCAGATGATCCTAACCTGGCCAGAGCTGCAAGAGCCAGACAGGCTGGAGACGAGGCCGGCTCCAGGGTTTTGGCTGCCCCAAGCAGCCAAAAAAAAAAAGAAGCCGCGATCGCGATCTGTGGCGGCAATTCGGCGGAAGGTCCTTCGCTCCGAGCGGGAGTGAGGGACTGTCCACTGAATTGCCGCTGCATAGCTGGACCTGCCGCTCCTCTCCGGAGTGGCCGCCCCAATCACCTGCTTGCCAAGCTGGTGCCTGGAGCCGGCCCTGGCTGGAGAAATGACAGAAAGGGACCTACAGCGCTTAGTCCCAGGCAGGGACTAACAAAATGAGAGTTTGCCTGGATACATGCAAGTAATTAATGTGGCAGAACATCACAGAGTGGTTCAGTGGCAGGGAGAGAACTGGGAGAGACCGAGTGTGATAACAGATCAGGTCACACAGGAGTTTTCACTATGATCTCATGGCATTATCAGCCAGCATGGTTTGGGGTTGCACCCAGAAGTATCGTTCCAGAGTACAGCGGGAATAGTTCTCCTCTATATGGCTCTGGTACAATTGCTCCTGAAATACTGCGCTCAGTTCCAGGAACTACAACCCCCCCAAAGAGTACCTGCAAATTGAAGAGATTTCAAAGAAGAGCATCAGTGATCAGGGGTAGAGGGGACAAGTTTGGGGGAGCGATTGAGACAGCGAAATCTGTCTAATTTATCTAAAGAATGGCTGGGGGCGGGGGGGTGTGGGCCCTGCTTAAGGGCTGCAAATATACGCTCACTGTAATCAAGCCATACATGTGCTTACTACACAGCTATAATTTGCCGACCAGTCACACGTCCCCTCAAACACAAAAAGACATCACACATACAGATGCATTTTTGCACATATCCAGCACTTGCACTCATCTGTGCCACTCACACCGATGTATCCACCCCATCTGCACTGCTATCTACATGCACTCTCTCTCCCCAGTGCCAGCTCCCCACAGTAGGGTGACCAGATGTCCCAATTTTATAGGGACAGTCCCAATTTTTTAGGCTTTTTCTTATATAGGCACATATTACCCCCCACCCCCACCCCAATTTTTCACACTTGCTATCTGCTCACCCTACCCCACGATCACGCATATGGATATGCACATGCACACAGCTCTGCACTCACACCCAGCAGGCAACAAGGTGCTCGGGCCGACATCCCCCTCTTTGTCAGATATCAACGCTCGCAGCAGGCTGCTCGCCCTTCTAGCGGTGGGGACATGGCTCCATGCTGCGCTGCTGGAGGGAAGCTTTTCACAGATCACCTTAGCAGGCTTGGTGTCTCAGAGACACATGCACAGGCTCACAGTGGCACAGCTTGTTAGAAAACAATCCTAGGACTTGGATCCCCAAGGAACAGCTCTACCCCAGAGCTATAGGAGACTCCTCCACCATACAGTCATAGCCCTGCCAGCCAGTGGATCGCAAGACTCTTACATGAGAAATAGACTATTTTAGTGCCAAACACGTCAGGATCTCCTCAGAGCAGCAAGGGCTTCTCAACACGGCCAGGACATGCTCACCTTCGTCTTCGTCCTTCAGAGCACGGACCCCGATGTGTCAGAGGGATGGACAGTAAATACCACAGGAGACTTTGCTGAGGTAAAAAATAAAATAGGGCCAGTGTCCTACTTGTAAAGTTCCAGGTAAATCAAATCAATCCAGGAACCGCCTTGTCTTTGCCAGGGTTCAGGCCGACTGGCCTGAGTAAAGTGCAAATGCCAGTCCGTTTCAGTGATATCTGCAGTTGGGTCAAGGCAACACTCAAATTTCAGCTCTTCCCCAGGTTAAGATTAGCTTGACCATGCTGAAGGGGTGGCGGGCATGGCCTTACCCTGCCCCAGGGTCAGTACACATTTGCCATACTGAAGGGCATGTTGGCCCTGCCCAGGCCTTAGATCAGGTTGGCCATGCTGGAGGTGGTGGCGAGCCGGCGGTTCACAGAGAGCCGGCTGGAGATGGTGAAGATGCTAATGTCACCTGTGTCCAAGCTCCTGGGAGCAACTGGGCAGCAGGAGATGCTGAGCATGTAAAGCAGCAGGCAGAGTAGAATGGCAGCCCCAGCAGTCATGAGGATGACGCCACTGGTGAACATGCTGGCCAGAGGCCGTGAGGCGCTGAGCTGCATGGTTGTGGTGGAGAGGACAGTGAGGACCACGCCACAGACCAGCAGCACCAGGGCACTGAGCAGCAGCACCACACAGTCTGAAAAGCCACCACTCTTCAGCAGTTCAATCTGGTTCCGGCTCCGGATGCAGTTCATGTCCTGGACAGCAGAGCTCAGCAGCTGCTTCAGCAGCACCAGCAAGGCCAGGAGGCAGAGCGTGGTGCCCACAGCCAGCCGCCACTCCCCAGACCGGCTGCTGGTGCTATAGAGGAGGACGATGCCCCCTGTCCCGCAGGCCAGAATTAGCACCACGGCCACACCATAGCACAAGATGGATTTCTTAGGGTCCTTGAACCACCACAGCTCGACATGCTCCTCAAGGATGTTCCCCTGAATACGGCCAACATCTGCAGGGGGCCTGGGCACACGGAGCTGCTCCAGCTCGGGCATGGTGGGTACCTGAGGGGCCTCTAGGCTGGGTGCTGCGATGATCACACAGACGGCGCCAGGTCCCTGGCCGGGGCGGTCAAAGCCACAGCAGCTGTGATGGTTGTGACATTTCCTTGGGAGGCAGGCAGCTCGTGTTCTTGCCCTCTGATGCCCTGTGGCCACTGAATGTCAGAGCTCCAGTACAGCAGGGGTGCCCATCACTGCATCCCCTAGAGAGTTACGGGCTGCACGCCAGGGGATGCGCCAGGAAGGACTATGGCTGAGGGGCAGGATAACAGAGCTTGATCTGCAGTGTCCAGTGCGGTGAGCTGACGCACCTCCAGAGTGTCATGGGGAGTGGCTGGTACTGAGTCCTCCAGCCCCCTCCTTGTCCTAGTTATTTCATCTGAAAAAGGCCAGAAAAGAACAAAGTGTAATTGAACAAAGCCCCTGCTCCCAAATACCCCCTCCTCCCTACAGTCCCCAGGGCAGGGTCAGAGACCTTCCTCGCTGAAACCCACACCCTGTGGCACAGGCCAGGGGACCTCCCCCCCCCACCCCCCCCATGCTGAGGCTCCACTCACTGGTGCATCTGGGCATCCCTGTTCAGTGAAGCCTGTCTCAGGGGTGATACTGCCGCTGTGGGTCTTCTGTCTCTCCAGACTCAATGGCTGCAGGGCTGCTGAGCCCAGAGACTGCTCAAGTGTCCCTGTGCATTCCTCAGCAGGACTGTGCCTGCAGCTGGGCACTGGCAGCATGGACAGAGGCAGGTCCCATGCTGTGATAAAGCCCCATTCATTGCCCCAGCCTCACATGCTCCCTCAGCAGCAGCTGCCTCTTGTCCCCAACTGGCTCTCCAGCCCAGACTGTCAGCAAAGGGTTGGGTCCTGGGCTTAACTCTTACAGTCTAGTCCCAACCAGTGGAGGAAAAATGAAACAATGAATAGTAACTGCTGAATTGGCTGTGCTTTCCGTCACCCCAATCCCTGGTCTGAGCCACCAACACACTTCCCTTGGCTCATTGTCTCAGGCCATCAGCCCAGCCTGGATTCCTGCCCAGGATAATAGTAAAGGCTCTCACGTTCCCCCAGACACCGCACCACATAAAATTAATGGTTATTGCTCATGTGTCCACGCCCCCTGCCCCCAGAGTTTCCTTGGATAGAGCTCCCTCTACCTGAGAGACAGGTATTCAATGTGCACGTGAGGGCTAAGACTCAGCGATTCTGCATGCATTTTCTATAGTCTTGGTGTGCATCCGCCTACTCGAACACACACTTAAAGCATGTGGGGTGCAGAGGGGAAGCTACGTAATCTTCTGGACTTGACTATGCAAACAAGCCCCCAGCTCCTTCCTGCCTTGGCCTTCCCTGACACCTCACTGTCTCTGGCTAGGGACATCTGTGTCTTCCCCCCCCCCCATCCCTCCACTTAGCTATTGAGCAGAGTCTTTGCACTGTAAGCAGAAACCACTTGCATTGCTCCATCCGCAGATTCCCAGCATGTGAGAGGCCTCAGTGGGTGTAAAAACCAGCATGGGGTGCGCCTACGCTACCCACCATAGGAGGTGTGCTGGGAAACAGAGGGGCATGCTAGAACCATGGAGGGAGGGGGTGCCAGATATGTGTTATGCTATGGCTATGCTCAGTTGTGGACAACAACTTGGGACCCATGTTCAAGTTCCACTTACACAGGTTAGCGCAGCTCCAGGGGACCACCCAGTACATTAGGGAGCCATAACTGGGCTCCCAGCTGGCCCTCTCTTTCCTACTTCATTGACACAGAGACTCTGGCTCATGGTATCTAAACACCTCAGAGACAGTAATGGCTACACCCTCACAACCCCTGTAAGGCTGGGCATTATTAGCCCCTTTTTACAGGTAGGGAACTGAAACCTGAGAAGCTTGTGACGTCTCCCAGTTACACACACAGGGAATTTATATCAGAGGCAGGACCCGAACCTACAACTACAGGGATCTAGACTGGGAAACTTACCGATAAGCCCAGCCTTCGTTCCCAATTACAAATTCTCCTTCCACCCAACCTCTTCACGAACTGTGAAAGGTCCTTGTACCACCATGCCCCTGGGTCCTGGCACTGGGGCTTGTCCAGTTTGCTGTGTCTGTCTGGGACTAAAAGGGAAGCCCATATAGAAACGAGTCAAGCATAAGCTATAAAGCAGCAAGGAATCGTCTCACATCGTCTCACTTTGCCTGTTATACAAATAGCACTAAGAACATATTACCTTGGTGCTGTGTGTGCTCCATTGGCTCCTGTTTTCAGTCTCAAATACAATTGAAGGCTCCAGTCCCAGTTTTGGGGACCCTTATAGAATAGAGGGCTGAGCACATTGCTGCGTCTGCAGGCAGAGCTCACTGCACACAGTAGCGGCTCCTGGCATCTCAGTGGTCTCAAGTTGCAGTGGGGGAGGTCCAGGTTGGATATTAGGAAACACTATTTCACGAGGAGGGTGGTGAAGCACTGGAATGCGTTACCTAGGGAGGTGGTGGAGTCTCCTTCCTTGGAGGTTTTTAAGGCCCAGCTTGACAAAGCCCTGGCTGGGATGATTTAGTTGGGAATTGGTCCTGCTTTGAGCAGGGGGTTGGACTAGATGACCTCCTGAGGTCCCTTCCAACCCTGATATTCTATGATCTCTCCATTCTCTCCCACAAACTCCCAGTAAGCCACCCTGCCATCCCCTTCTATGTCAGGGCCTCTCTACACTTCTCCTTCCCTACCCCCACCTGCGTGCCAGGGCTCTGTGTAGCCCCCACCCTCCCCTATCAGTGTGCCCCATTCTCCCCCCTTAGCATGGGCTCTATGTACACTCTATTAGCCCCTTACCACCCCAGACTCATGCCAGAAGATGGGTGAGGGGGCTGCGCCAGTCTGGATGCAAGAAGTGATTTCCTTGACATCTTAAACAATGGCTACATGAGGCTTCTCTTCAGCTAGGCCAGGTGGGCAGGGAGTGGGGGTGCTGGAGCCAGACACTGCCTGACAGTGTCAGGGCAAACCCTTCCAAGCTCCGGCCCTGACTCTGATGGAGCATGAGATCACTGTTAAAGCCATAAGCACAACAGCCATTGTTCAAGGCTCTCTACCAGCTGGTCACATGGCAGGGCGGATTCTGAGCTCTATTCTGCTCATAGGCATGTAGCTAGCTGCATTGCATGACCTTTGCTCTATGATAAGCCCCTGCTGCGTCTGTGGAGTTTGGACTCTCCTGTGAGTGACTGGATCCAGAACACAGAAATTCCTAGTCTTGAGAATTTTTGCTTGGTCTGGAGGCATGTAGGATTCTTGATCAAACCCACAGTCTGTGGCTGTATTCAAAACAATTACAATCCTCCAGTTAGTGGCCAGAGAAGCAGCTGTGCCTGCCTGGGACCAGCTCTGCTATTCACAAACACAGCAACAGAAAAGACATTGCATGCTGCCTGCCCCTATACAGTGTGTGCTGTGTGGCGTTGGGATGCATGCACCCTGCAAGGTAAATGCACTCAGCCCTGCAAGGGCCTGTCTGACTCCAGGGGACATTTCTGAGCTGGTTAGTTTAGATGGGGGCTGAGCTGTGCAGGGTTAGGGGTGAGCTCTGGGCTTCTGTTTGAGAGCCCCCTTGCAGGTTCAGTATTATTCTAACACTAAGCCTCATAGAGCCCAACTACACCAGCACCATAACTGCATGGCCACTTCTATATCACAGCACCCTTTGCCCCTCACTTGGTGCTCTAGGCATAGAGCTATGCTGTCTCACCATTACACCTTTCACACAGCTTCCACGAGGTCTTTGGACTGCAGGAGTTTAACTCTTTACATTTTATTTTTCTCCTTTGTTGACTCACTCATCACATCAGAATAGTCTGCTTGGGCCCAAGGGACTGGCAGGAATGAGAAGCTCCACGCCTCCATACAGGAGGGCAGCTTCTTTCCACAGTAGATTGGAAGTGCTGAAAAGTGCTTTCTCTCTGCAGCAATTCCCCCCTTCCCCGAAACCTAGCGTGGAATAAATAGGGACACAGACACTCTTCATAAAGTCATAGATTTTAAGACCAGAAGGAACCATTAGACAATCTAGTCTGTCCTCGTCTCATGGATCATTAAATGTCACCCCCCCTCTTGTATTGAGCCCAATAACTTGTGTTTGAGTGAAGACTTTGACTTCAGTGTTTCTGGCTGTTATACATGGGACAGGAAGAAACAGGGGCCCAGATCTCATAGAGTGAAAGAGATTTCAGCTCAGATGGCTCAGTTGTTGAAATACTTCCACACGCTCTCCTGTTGTATGGTGTCATGCCATCCCAAGAGACATTCAAAGGCTCTCACCGCCCCTCCCCAACCCCATGTACCGGAGGAGAGAGATTACTAAATTATGGGATTGTTTTCAGTGCTGCTGTTGGCTTTTGGACTGTTTTGTACAGTTTTATGTGCCTGATAGAGAATATAGGAGTATGTTGAGTGTAGGGATGCATAGTTATTCTAGCTCAGAATCCCAGAGGCATTTGTTGCATAAAATTCCTGTTTTGCAACATCTTAACATTTTCTAAACTGCAGGAAGTTGCACCAGTTATTTTTAAGCTTCCAGTCATCCTGGTATCAGTCCTTAAATATGCCCCTCCCTAACAAATCCCAACCCCCCCTATAATTTTTTTCCTTCTTGGTCACATCTGGGCACAGCACATATGGGGATGGAAATCATGACACCCCCCGGCCACACATACACACACTTTGTGGATTGATCATGCCGGAGGAGGGGGGACTTAGAGTAGAGGGCTCAAGGTTATGGGGCTCAGTATGTGACAGCCTTCTATAGCCAAGTAGATCAGGTTTGTTTTACTTAATCAAAAAAGTTCATGATTGCTCTGCTAAGTGCTTAAACAGGCCCCACCATCATGATACCAGAGCACCTATTCCAGTGCAGATCTTGCTGAATGAGGACTATGAAGCAACAAGAACGACTTGAAGCTGAAATGCCCGGCAGAAAGGGTGAGGCAGGGCAGCGGCTGCTCCAGACAATCGGCTGTCCTAGGCAGAACTTCAGTATGCAGACGCCCCCTCAGCAATCCCATAGCCATAATTTAAGAGAGATGAATTGACCATAAACAGTCTATATGAAACGGGCCTAGATCAAAGCACACTAATGACCTGTTAGTGTGGGCAAGCAGGGTGTACACCCTGCATGAATTCTTTACCACAGGCAGGGGCAGAAGAGCCTTCCCAAAAGGGGGGGGGGAGCAGAGGCTTTGATGTGGCCCTAGGCCTGCCCCTCCTCTTCCCCCTGAGGCCGTTAGGATGACCAGATGTCCCGATTTTATAGGGACAGTCCCGATTTTTGGGTCTTTTTCTTATATGAGCTCCTATTACCCCCCACCACCTGTCCCAATTTTTCACATTTGCTGTCTGGTCACCCTAGGCCCTGTCCTGGACCAAGCTGGAAGCTGGAGTGGGCCAGGGAGCCCCAGACCCTCCACCTGCCCGGGGAGGGGGAGGGGGGGCAAAAGCAGCAGCCCCAGCCCATGTCCCTGACTCCTGGGCCCCTTGCCCAGGGCAGGTGGAGGGTCCACAGCTCCCCAAAGCTGCCGGGGCTTCCCGGCCAGGCTCTAGTTGCTGGCCTGGCCAGGAGGCGGAGCTTCGGAAGGAAGAAGAAGGACGGGGTGAGGCCCATGATGAAAAGTGGGAGGGCCATTGCCCCTTGCCCTCCCCCCCTCTGTTTTGGAGTCCCTGACCATAGGTGCTGGGTTTGTAACATATTTGGTTCAGCCCTGTAGGGGGGTATATCCCCCATACGTGGGTGTCTGGGGGGCAGTGAAGCCCTTCAGGTTAACGAAAAATTTGAATTGGATTGGCCATAGACTGGCTCAAACGGTTATATACTAAACATGGCTACAGCCCTGGCCTGGGTGGGTTAGTGACCCCTCCCCGGACCTGGAAAGGGTATATGGGAATCTAAGCAGCTTCTTTAAAACAGCACCCACAGGTCAAATGGAACACTCCATGGGACAGGAGTGATCTCATCCAGCGCTCCCTCTCCTATCGGTCAGTCCCCCTTTTGGCATGACAGTGCAGCAAATATATCAGTATGCTCCTCCATAATCAGATGTCCCTGGAAGGATGACACCCCTCCCAGTGGGGTTCCCCCACCCCAAGGAGACAGCAGCCCTGCCCAGCCCCGGCATTGGGGCTCTCTCCCCAGGCGCACCATTTGACCTGTGCCATGGGGCTCTATCTCCCCTCCCCCATCTGAAGCGAACCCCTCTGGGTGTCAAGGCCAGGGGCTGGTCCCCAACATGAAGCTGTGGGGGACAGGGGTGGGAAAACCATGCACCACATGTATGTTTTTCTAAAAAAATTTGCTCTACGGATTATTTTGGGGACATTCTCTGACCTCTGCTATACAGGAAGTCAAACTGATCACAATGGTCCCTGTCAACCTGGATGCTGTGAATCTAAGATTGGAAGAATGGAGTGTGTGTGTGTGTGTGTGTGGGGGGAAATAATACAGTGGGACTGGAGTCTGCACAGGGGTGGGACTGGGGGCAAGGACCTGGGGAGAGACCAGGACGCAGGGGACAGATGGGGTGGGGGGTTCAGGCTTCAGTTCCCCAGGTAGTGGCTGGGCTAGGACACAGGCAGAGATGGAAGTGGTGGCAGGCAGACTAGGGCAGGGGTGTTAGGACATGGGGGAACGGGAGCAGGCACAGATGGGGTGTGGGAAGAACACAAGGGAGCTGAGCGGGGAAGGAGGGTTAGGGCAGGGGTTAGGGGGGCAGCAAGGGGGTGCCACTTACCTGGTTACCACCCACCTTGGGGGGCCCTGCTGGGTCCCTCATCATTCAGCTTTTCCAGAGGGAGGCTACCGTGGGCTGGGCCAGGCTGTGGGCTCCCCTACCCTGGGGCTGCCTGTGCTAAGCTGTGCTAAGCTGGACCGTCCAGCCACATGGGCCCTGTCGAGGCCGCTGCGCACACCCTGCTGATGTGCATTAACTATTCATTAATGTACTTTGATCTAGTCCTGGTTCAAAGCGGCCTACGGAAAAGTGCATTAAGGGTGAACACGGGAAGTTAGACTGCACCACAGCAGGTGAGCGCAGAGTAGATCACACCCAGCTTGCGGTGAATCTGCCTCACCAGGCCGCTGTACTGCACGAGGCAGCTGCCTATCTTGCCTATGCCTAGAACAGTCTATACGTGTGAGGGGGCAGACCACAGGATCAGTTTGGTTAGCTTTCACGAAGCAGCCCACAGCCCCAAACCTCCCAAGTGGGGAGGATTAGGAGCTGTGTGAGAGACAGAGCGCGACACAAACAGCTCACATGCAGCTACAGGTTTTACTCACCCACAGCTGACAAGTAATCACCAACTTCAGGCACAATTCAGCCGCCTCTCCGCCTTTGCCTGAGTTCCCAGCTGGCAGCTGAGGTTGCGCCACACTCTCCTTCCATTGGAATCAGGCTGACACGGCAGGTCCTGGGATATGGCCCAAGGGTAAAATCTGGCCTCTTCCCTTCCAACAGCAACGGCCTGCCAGGCAACAGGTGTAACTTCCAGCTCTCCTTCCTTGGCCTATTCAGCCAGCTACCTGCTTCTGATAGGCTGCAGCAAGCACAACCCTTTCACCTGGACTGTGACAGGTACATTCCCCAGCAGGGTGGGGTCTGATACAACCTGTTGTCCTGGAAGAGATTCCAGGGCTGTAACTGTGGTGCCTGGGTGTCGCCCTCCTCACTCAGAGCAGGATGTCTCATTTCACATTTCCTGGCTCGTGACAGAAGCTGTGGGGAGTGGTGAACAGGTGGAACAAGGCTTCTGGCTGAGCTGGCAGAGCCAAGCAGGATTACCAGAGTTAAACAAATAGTGACTTACATGGCATTTAATATGTTAACTCTTAAGTCACTGGCTGAGCAGAAGACATTTGACACCTTCAGGACTGGCCCTTTACAGAGTCAATGGGGTCAATCTGGGAGTGCTGTGATAGTGAGGAAGCAAAGCCAGGCCCAGAGACACTGAGCCATTCCCAGCATGCCCGTTTCTCCCTTGCTGCAAATGGCTTCTTCTTTGGGCAGCTGCCTGCTCAGCCCCCTCTTGGGAGAGAACAGCAGGTGGTTGGGGCCTCCTGGCATGCAGCCCAGCAGATCCCATGCTGAACAGGTAGGTAGGGAACAGGAGACGTCTCTGCCTGTTCAGTTGGGAAAGGGGGCTGCTCTGGTGTTTGCAGGGGTCAGGAAACCAGAAGGGTTTATGCAAGAGAGGGCACAGGAAGAGATGGGGCTGCTGCCAGGCAGGAGGGAGAAAATTGAGCCAAGTGTATTCAGGGCACATCCCTCCCTTAGAAATCCTTAGGTGACTGGCCTCAGGGCTAAAGAGGGATGATTCCTGCTGTGCATAGGGGAAGCTGACAGCTCTTTGGGGGGTGGAGGATAGGTGGGGAGAAGGAAATATTTAGTTGATCATGACTTCCATATCACATCTCCTGTGCAAATGGGTGACGGGCTGGAGGTGCACTAGCAAAGTAAAATACTGGATTCTGGGCAGTGTGGGAGCCTTAGGTCAGGATATTCTATAATGACCCTAGAGAACACAGTCTGGATAATTTGTCTATGTAAAACATGAATTCTGGTTGATTTTATGAAACTGATGGGTTATTTAATGCCACAGTGCATACGAAATCATCCATTTGCTACCGGGGCAGGAACAATGGAGGTGCGTTAACTTGGAGGGTCCCTTATTCAAATACAAACACCTTTGGACAATGAGTTGGCCACTGCCTAGTGAAAACTATCTTTCCAGGTGAGCTGGTAACCAAAGAGATGACCTTCTTGTGGGAGGAGGTGAGAGGGGGCTTTGTGGCAGACCAAGAGGGTCACCTGGTAAAGGGCACTGCAACTTTATAAAGGACTCTCTCACTATCCCTTTTAGCAAAAGAAAAGAGACCAGAAGCAGCCACAGGCAAGACAGAGCAGGCGAAGGAGAGAGGGTCATCCAGGGACCCTGATATGATGCTGCCTAAATCCAAATATTTGGCTCCCAAAGAGCTCTTGGAGTTGTGAGGAAACTAAGGCCTGGTATACACAAGAAAGTTAGGTTGACATAAGCTGCGTTAGGTCAATTTAATAATGTATGAGTCTACACTACTGAGTCCCTTCTGGCAATCTAAGTGGCCTGTAAAGTCAACTTCTGTACTCCACCTTCACAAGAGGTGTAGCACTTGATTCAACATCCATGGGTTGATATGGGGATAGTGTAGACACTGCGTTGTGTAATTTGAATGAATTGGCCTCCAGGAGGTGTCCCACAGTGCTCCGCTGTGACCGTTCTGGAGAGCGCTTTCAACTCCACTGCACGTCAGCCAGGTACACAGGAAATAGACGCCCCCGTTAAAGCCCCGGGAACTTTTCAATTTTCATTTCCTGTTTGATCAGTGTGGAAAGCTCTTCAGCACAGCTGATCATGGAGACTAATGGCCGCAGACGCGCTCCAGCATTGAGTACACAGGAGGTGCTGGATCTTATTGCTGTGTGGGGAGAAGAGTCTGTGCAGGTAGAGCTCTGATCCAGCAGAAGAAATGCTGACATCTGTGCCAAAATAGCATGGGGCATGGAGGCGAAGGGCTACCGCAGCAGTGCCATGTGAATATAAAGGAGCTTCTGCAAGCGTACCAGAAGACAAGGGAGGTGAACAGTTGTTCTGGTTCTGCCCCACAGACATGCCCCTTCTATGAGATGCTGCATGTGATTCTTGGTGGCGACCCCACCACTACCCCAAAATGCTCAGTGTATACCTCCCAGGAACCCTGGGAGACCTCGAGGAACAACTAGGAGGACATTGTTGACGAGGAAGAGGAGGAGGAGGAGGAGAATGCGAGGCAGGCAAGCGGAGGATCCATTCTCCCCGACAGCCAAGAATTATTTTTAACCCTGGAGCCCATCCCCTCACAGGACCAATTGTTGGCAGAGCGTGATACTGGGGAAAGCACCTCTGGTGAGTACACATTTCCAATCAAACTGTAGGGGTTACATGCTATTATTTTTAATGTTGAATCTGAACAAAAGAGTAAGTGTAGTGGGTATCGGTGGCCACTCCAGCTACGCAGAGGTTGCTCTCTGAAAAAGTCTGTTTATGTACATAGGGATGGCCCTGGAATCCTCCATGGAGATCTCTAGGAAGCTTTCATGGAGGTACTCTGCAATCCTTTGCAGAAGGTTTCTGGGAAGGGCTGCCTTATTTCGTCCACCATGGTAGGACACTTTCCCACGCCACTCCAGTATTAACTCTTCTGGCACACATCATTGCAGCATAAGGACCAGGTCTGTACCCAGATGCTTGCAATATCTGCTCCCTTTCCGTATCTGTTACCCTCAGGAGACTGATATCACATATGGTCACCTAGGGGAAATGGGGGAAGTTTTAAATGCTAGCCCTTAAACCACAAGCAACTCAACAAGTAATCTGCCCATTTGGTGAATTCTGGGTCACACAACCACGCTTTCCTGAGTGTGCCCTGGCTGTGGTTGGAAGGGCTCACCGTGTATTGCAACCAGGCATTTAAAAAGGGGCGGGGATGGCTTCCTGTTTGTCTCCCTTCCCCCCAATCCGGTGCCGCTTTTGTAACAATCAAACTATTTGGGGGGGCTTTACACTGGTGCCTGTCCTCACGCACCATCCAGGTTGCTAGGGGAAAGGGGGCTTTTCTGAAGTTGCAACCTGTGATCCTAAGGATGTCTTCACAAAAGCTGCAGCACAAGACCTCTCACCCATGCCTCATGGCCTCACTCACCATGGCTGGAGCAGCAAAACAACTCTTGCAGTAGCCAGCAGTTGTGATTACGTTGTGGCTTGCAGGGAAATGCATTGAGGGGTGTTTCTTTTATAAAAAAGAATTAACCTTGCACTAGAAACAATGTAGTGTATCAGAGGGGTAGCCGTGTTAGTCTGAATCTGTAAAAAGCAACAGAGGGTCCTGTGGCACCTTTGAGACTAACAGAAGTACTGGGAGCATAAGCTTTCGTGGGTAAGAACCTCACTTCTTCAGATGCAAGAAACAATGTATGCACTGTCAATGCTACCCTTGTGCTTTGTATTCTTTGCAGCTGAAACCTTGTCTGTTGGCGCATCCTCCATACTGGGACAGAGACTTTCCCAGATTATAAAGCGGAAAAAGAAGACTCGGGAGGACATGTTCAATGAATTAATGTGCACCTCTGAGAGTGACAAGACAGAGCTCAGCGCATGGAGGATTGCACTGTCCAACAACCTGCACAAGGACAGGGAGGACAGGAGAGCATTCAAGGAACAAGAGCGTGCTGCGCAGGAAGAGATGCTGCGGATTATGAAGCAGTAATCAGACATGTTGAGGCATCTGGTTGAGGTTCAAGAAAGGCAGCTGGATGCTAGAGTCCCTCTCCTATGCTGAACCTGCTGCCATCATCATCCTCCCCTCCCAAACGTCCTAGGAGGTGGAGGGGTGGGGGAAGTCCGGTATCCTTTGCATTTAACTCCAGGGGAGGGTACAAGGACCAGAAGGCGCCCATTCCCACACCTTTGATTGTTATTGCCGTGCAATTGTAAGCAAGCTATCCTTGTCCCCCACCCCCCTGTTATCAGCCCTTTTGCCCCAGGTTATCTTACTCTTGTTTGCTGTTTCTGTGTGTTTGTGAGCATAATAAAACTTAATGGTTTGAGGAGAAAAGGCTCTTTATCTATTCAGCACACTGTGGTTAGTGGGGGTGGCGTTTACAGGGGAGAAAATGTAATGAAGGGGACAGCTCAGTAAGGAACAACACAGGTAAGTGTCACATTACTGTGGGTCATTGCTGAAACTGGTTTTCAAAGCCTCACAGAGACACAGAGCCTCTCAATGTGCTCTTCTTATTGCCCTGATGTCTGGCTGCTCAAAATTGGCTGCCAGGTGATTTGCCTCAACTTCCGCACCCCACCAGAAACTTTTCTCTCTTTGTTTCACAGAGATTATGGAGCACACAGCAGGCAGCAATAACAATGGGAATATTGCTTTCACTGAGGTCTAACCTAGTAAGCAAACAATGCCTGCGGCCTTTTAAACATCCAAAGGCACATTCCACCACCATTCTGCACTTGCTTAGCCGATGGTTCAGGACTATTTAAAAAAGCTGGACGAGCACAAGTCCCTGGGGCCGGATGCGCTGCACCCGAGGGTGCTAAAGGAGTTGGCGGATATGATTGCAGAGCCATTGGCCATTATCTTTGAAAACTCATGGCGATCAGGGGAGGTCCTGGATGACTGGAAAAAGGCTAATGTAGTACCCATCTTTAAAAAAGGGAAGGAGGAGGATCCGGGGAACTACAGGCCAGTCAGCCTCACCTCAGTCCCTGGAAAAATCAAGTATCAGAGGGGTAGCTGTGTTAGTCTGAATCTGTAAAAAGCAACAGAGGGTCCTGTGGCATCTTTAAGACTAACAGAAGTATTGGAGCATAAGCTTTCATGGGTGAATGCCCACTTCATCAATGCTCCAATACTTCTGTTAGTCTTAAAGGTGCCACAGGACCCTCTTTTTGAAAAATCAAGGAGCAGGTCCTCAAGGAATCCATTGTGAAGCACTTGGAGGAGAGGAAGGTGATCAGGAACAGTGAACATGGATTCACCAAGGGCAAGTCATGCCTGACCAACCTGACTGCCTTCTATGATAAGATAACTGGCTCTGTGGGTAAAGGGAAACCGGTGGACGCGATATACCTTGACTTTAGCAAGCTTTTGATACGGTCTCCCACAGTATTCTTGCCAGCAAATTAAAGAAGTATTGAATGGAGTATAAGGTGGATAGAAAGCTGGCTAGATTGTCAGGCTCAGCGGGTAGTGATCAATGGCTCAATGGCTAGTTGGCAGCCGGTATCAAGTGGAGTGCCCCAGGGGTTGGTCCTGGGACCGGTTTTGTTCAACATCTTTATTAATGATGTGGATGATGGGATGGATTGCACTCTCAGCAAGTTTGCGGAGGACACTAAGCTGGGGGGAGGGTAGGGATAGGGTTCAGAGTGACCTAGACAAATTGGAGGATTGGGCCAAACGAAATCGAATGAGGTTCAACAAGGACAAGTGCAAGGTCCTGCACTTAGGACAAAAGAATCCCATGCACCGCTACAGGCTGGGGACCGACTGGCTAAGCAGCAGTTCTGCAGAAAAGGACCTGGGGATTACAGTGGATGAGAAGCTGGATAGGAGTCAATAGTGTGCCCTTGTTGCCAAGAAGGCTAATGCCATATTGGGCTGCATTAGTCGGAGCATTGCCAGCAGATCAAGGGAAGTGATTATTCCCCTCTATTCGGCACTGGTGAGGCCACATCTGGAGTATTGCATCTAGTTTTGGGCCCCCCACTACATAAAGGATGTGGACAAATTGGAGAGAGTCCAGTGGAGGGCAATGAAAATGATTAGGGGGCTGGGGCACATAACTTATGAGGACAGGCTGAGGGAACTGGGCTTATTTAGTCTGCAGAAGGAAGAGTGAGGGGGGATTTGATAGCAGCCTTCAACTACCTGAAGGGGGGTTCCAAAGAGGATGGAGCTAGGCTGTTCTCAGTGGTGGCAGATGATAGAACAAGAAGCAACGGTCTCAAGTTGCAGTGGGAGAAGTCTCCACTATAAACACTATAAATATTTCATGTGCAAAGTCCCACCCAATATCAGGCTCCAACACCTACCCTAAATACGATGTCTTGATTTCACTGAGTGTTCACTGTTTACATCAGATTCATGCGGTAGGCTTTTTATTACCTTTGGAAATCATATCTTCCCAGAGAGGCCGACTCATAAGACATGCCCTTAAGTTTTTTCATCACCACTGTGAGACAGCTCTTCAGCTGGAAATACTTCTTACTCTGAGCAGGATGAGGTCCTTTTTCTTTGTTAAGACTTTGATTCAATTTCGCGAAATGATGCCCCCAAAATGGCATTTTCTTCTATCACTCCATTTATACCAGCCAAAGGGAGGGCAGAATGACAGCATAGTGGGCCCCAGCAAACCAGAAGGTGTATGTTCCGAAGGGAAGAAGGAGGATCCGGGGAACTACAGGCCAGTCAGCCTCACCTCAGTCCCTGGAAAAATTAT